CGTCCCAATTAAATTTCAGGTTTGGCTCGAAATTGTATTAAACGAATGAATTCTTTGAGATTGTATTAGTTATGCATTGCTGCATGACACGTTATCCCAAAGTTTAGCAGCTTGAAACAGCACATACACATCTCACACTCTTTATGAGGGTCAGGAATCTAGGAACAGCTTGGCTGGGGGATTCTGGCTCAGGGTCTCTCATGAGGTTGCACTGAAACTGCTGGCTGGGGCCGCAGTCTCCCCCTGACCAGGTCCTGTGCCAATCGCACTCACGTAACTGTTGGCAGGAGGCTCCAGTTCCTTGACATGGGGGTCTCATGACATGGTCTCCCCAGAGTGAATGACGAGAGAGGGGGGGGGGGGAAGAGAGAGAGGGAGAGAGAGAACCCTAGGGGGAAGCAGAAAAGTCTTTTATAACCTAATCTCAGAAGTGACAGATCATCACTTCTGGCGTATCTTATTGATCACACAGACCAACCCGGATATGCGTGAGAGGGGCCACGGCAGGTCACAGCTGCCAGGTGGCGGGGATCATCGGGAACCATCTTGGAGGCTAAGTAACAGAGGCGAATTGAACATGTTATGGTAATAGGTCTTCCTGATTGTGAATGTGGTGTGTCTCTGTATCAACTTAAATCTTAGGTATGCTCTCAAAGAGGATTTTTACTTTTCTTCGTATAGGTCCCCCACAATATTTATCAAATTTATTCCCAGAGTTTTATATCTGGTTCCTATTGTGAACGGGATCTCTTTCACATTGTATTTTCTAAGTAGTTGTTGCACTCATACAGGGACACTATTGCTTTTTATGGCCATGATTCTTCCGTGGAGCTTAACGGGTGACAAAGCAGAAATTCCTCTAGACTTTCACTGAGCCCTTGGATCACAAAACTGAGACCAGGTAAGATCCTAAATGTGCTCTTGGGACCAGCTTCCTCAAGTGACTGTGTGCCGGGGAGGCGGGGGGAATGTAAGGAGGACCTTCCTGCGGCCTATCATCGTGGTGCCTGTGCTCTGGGCTGCCTGAGGCCGAGGTGACAGGGTCCTCTGGCCAACACGTGACCCTACCTTCGAGGGAGCCCTGTGGTCAGGGCATGGGGGGACAGCCAGGGGAGGCGGCCTGTGGCAGGGCCAGTCCACCTAATGCCCCACAGACTTAGCCCATCTGCCCACGACTTCCAGGTACGAGTCTCCAGCAACCTCTCTCCAGAGCCCTAATCTGGATGCCTCCCCAGCATTTGCACAGGCTCTGGTCAACTCCGGTATGAACGTTCCTTCATCCGTTCTTGTTTCCAGTAGCTACAGTATTTATCCAGCACCTGCTGCACGCCAAACAGTGCTCTTGAGGACATCAGCGAAACACCTGCCCTCGTGGTGCTTGTTACAAGTCGGGAGAGAGAGACAAAACCAAACAAACTGTAAAATGGTATTTTACAAAGTGAGTGATACGGGAAGAAATAGAGCCGAATAATGGGGGATCAGGACTACGGAGGAGTTAAAAGTTTGAGCAAAGACTTGAAGGGGGTGAATGAGCTAGCCGGGTTCTGGGCAGAGGGACGGCCAGCACAAGGAAGCGGGAGTGGTGGCGCCAGGGGCTATCTGAGGGGGTGGAAGGCAGATCCTGTGAGCCTTGGGCTTCTCTGAGTAAAATGGGAGCCACTGTAGGGTTTTGAGCAGAGGAGTAACATAATCTAAGTTTTAAAATGATTTTAGATGGAAGCAGAGACACCTGATAGGAGGCTCTGGGAGGAGGAAATGTCCCCCAATTCTGCCCTCTTGGTCCCCGCTGGCAATGCCACTACAGTCCTCATCACCTCCCTCCTAGACTCTGTCCAGACTCTGCTGACTGTTCTCCCCGCCTCCTGCTCCTCTGTCTCGGAGAAATTGTCTCCAAGTCCTTCTCCAGCTTAGGAACTCTGGCAACATGAACGGTTTATCCCTGCCAACGTTCTAGCCTCCCAGGCTACGGAGGTCTGGCTTTGTCTGCATGTCCCTCTCTGGGGGTGGGTGCCAGTGTGGACGAGGCTGTGCACATCCTGCCCCACGAGTACTGAACTCCAGAGGCCAGTTTTCTTGGGTCCCATTTTAGAACCTCTGAAATACATTTATTTCAGCCACATGAATTATGTATCTTAGTCACTGCATAAAGCAATACAGAATTGTCTAAAGTGGGCTTCCTCCCCCTTCCAAGAAGAAAGAAACCATGTGTGTGTTCTTCCATATTTCTTCCTTTGCCCATACAAAAATAATCCAACATAGAATTTAAAAAATGGATTACACCGTGCACAATATTCTGCGTGTCGCCATTTCATTTTCCTGCCCTGGACATTTTCCCCGGCCAAAGCAGACAGATGGACTTCATTCTCTGTGACAAATGTTAGTGTTCCTCCCCAGGCGCCCTCCCCGCCCCACCCCACTGAGGGACATTCAGGTGGTTTCCAGTCACTTTCATAACAACATTGCGTGCGTGTACCCCGCCCCCAGAGGGAACTGCGTTAGCATACAAAGTTAAACACATCACATCGGCCAATAAAAAATGAAAACAAAATAAAACCAGTTGGAAGGCGGCAGAAAAGCGTGTGTGAATACCCCGGAGCCCCGCATCTCGTTCGTTTCCAGTCGCGGGAAGCTGCCTGGGCAGGAACCGCCGCGGGCTCCTTTGGTCTGCACGGCTCCCGGGCCGGGGTCCGGGCCCTGGACGGCCATCGTGTACCCGCCGCACCGCGGGTCCTCCCGCACCCAGATCCCGGCGCATCCCGGCGGGCGAAGCTGCCCTTGTGCTGCTCCCGGTGCCCGGCTCTCCCACGTGCTGCCGCTCCCGCTCGGATCGGCCGCCAGGGGGTGCCACAGGCCGGGCTGAGCGACCTCCTCCGCCGGGGGAGGGCGACGGGCGGGAGGACACCAGCCCAGAGGTGGCGCCGATCAGGGCCAGGCAGCTCCCACCGGCGCCGGCCCTAGAGCGTCTTTCCGGAAACCGGATCCAGCCCGCGCCCCGGCTGCGCTGCGCGCTCGGCCTCCTGCCCCACTGACCTGGGATTGCCAGGGAGCGCTCCGCCGGCTGCGGCACAAAACGGACAGTTAGCGGGGCCCTTCCCGTCCGGCCGCCACCCACCTTCTCTCAACGGTGTCACCACTGCAAGGATGACAGCATCACCGCTCAGCCAGAGGACTGGGCCTCACACCCACAGCAGTCGTCCCATCCCCACGGCCCCGTACTGTGCTGTCTCTCCCCTCTTCTTGTAGGCATCTGGTGGACCCAGAAAGTAAGAAGCTGCCAGCGGGAAGCTAGACTCCCTTCGTGCCGTTCCTCCCCTTCCTCTTGTTTCCTCTCTGGACGCCGGGCTCCCACCCAGCCACAGTTAGGACAAGGGAGATTAGAGCTGTGCCGGAGGCTCGGATGGCCTCAGTCTAAGAAAATGAGCGAGCCGGGACGCCGAGCCCTGAAAGGTCTTCGGTGGGGAGGAGAGAGAAGAGGGCGGGTGGGGTCCAGGGCCGCAGCGCTGCATGGCAAGAGCCTCTGTGTGGAGCCTCCAAGGTCTGGGTCACACGGGGACAAGCCAGCCAGACCTGGGGGAGGGGCAGCCTGGCCCTCCGCACTTCTTGTGACCCCGTGGGATTAAAGCTCCTCTGAACCCGCTTAATCCTTACTGTTGTGGGTCTACCTTGCAGGAGAAGACCGCCCACTCACACCTGGGTTTCATCAGTTTTGGGTGCCTGATCCACCTTTAGTCCTCATGGGGAGGGAAGGGGACATGAAGGTCACCAGCCCAACTAGGCCACAGTGCTACAAACCATCAAAAGATTCACAGTATCCAGTGGTTGTCATATTTGAAAGTTGGATGGAGTCCCAGGGTGGGTAGCCATAGGCAAGTTGCTTACCTTCTCTGAACCCCAGTTTGAATACAGGGGCAGCTGGGAGTAGCTCTGAGCAGCTGTTAGGGTGAACTTTGGGTCTCAGCATGAGCAGCGCCTACCCATCCTCACGGCCAAAGACAGGTGGGCTCCCTCCAAGCAGAAAGCAACATCCTGCTCTGTCCAGGGTGCTTCACATTCAGGGCATGGAGAGGACAGAGAAGGCACACTTGCATTCTTTGTGATCATCTCCAGGTACTTGCAACAACAACAAAAAGATAAGCAACAACAAAAATTGACCCCAAATTGAGGGTTAATCTGTCAGCACATGCATAGCCTTAGAACCTCATCATAGGGAAAAGGCAGAGGATGTCGGCCTCCTTCATGTCCTTGAATTCCATGATCAAGCCCCTCGGGTGTCCCTACTGATTCTATTTTGCTTTCTTCCTTGGCTGCAGCACAGAAAGAAGGAAAGCTCTTTTCTCCTCCAAGGCCGAGTGTTAGAAGCATTACCTCAGTAGCCCAACGTCCTGGAAAAGAGGAAGATTGGCAATGATGGAGCAGGTAGAGCGAGAGGCCGGGCAGCCTAGAAGCTCCTGGCTGGCTCCTCTGGCCTGTTTGACGTTGGCTCAAAAGACATGGAATTAATAGGCAAAGCTGCCTCCTCCTCCTCCTCTTACCTGTGGAGGAGAGATCGGTTCCCGGTTGGCTGGGGCAGTGTCATTGATATAGCTGGTGTCATCGTTACCTTCCATGAACAGATCACTCGACACCTGCCAGGGCCAGGAAGGGCCGGGCCTGGGTTTTGCCCGCAGAGCTGGAGGCTTTCACTCTCCCATTGTCCCAGAGCCCAGGGGAGGTCAAGACACAGGCTTTGCTGGGATGTGGCTCTTGGTGACCCAGTAGAAGGACTGGACAGCTGCTGGTGCTGGATCCCCCTTGCAGGTCCTGGCTGCCTCTTTGCTTCCTGCTGCCTGATCCCTGTGGCTGTCCTGGGCAGAGGAGATGAATTCGTGGCTGGCCGGGAGCTGAGGCAGAGCGACGATGCTGCACGGAGAAGCGGCTCTGGGAGTGACCCTGGCGTGAGGAGCTAAGGGCGAGGAGTGGCCTGGGGTGTCCCTCCTGGCGTGTGCATCCCAGGTGACACCATGCTGCAGCAGATCCTGCACGACATGTACATCGACCCCGAGCTCCTGGCCGAGCTCAGTGATGTGCAGAAGCACATCCTGTTCTACAAGATGCGAGAGGAGCAGCTGAGACGCTGGAGGGAGCGTGAGGCTTGGGAGGCCCTGGCCCAGGTCGAGGGCCTCAGGCCCCCCAAGGTCAAGCGAGGTATGTGGGTGGGAGTCACCAAGGGGCTGACCCCTGGCCTCCCGGGAGGTAGAAAAGTTGTCGATATCAGGCTATGTTCTTCTTTAAAATGGGCACTGGTGTGATGAGGGCTGGGGGCTTGAAACCCCTGTTCTGTGAGCATCCCTTCCCATTAGCCTGGGCGTCTATCTTTTGACTAGGTCTGTAGGGCTCCAAGGCTGCACAGGGAACTGCCCGGGGACCCTGATGGCATTGGGGTACGGGGACTTGCTTTGTCTTCTTGTGGAGGGCCCAGGTTCTGGGAAGACACCACTGGGATCTCAGACTGTGCTCAGACCCTGTTGGTGATTGCCTGGTGGGTAGAGGCCATGTTCTGTGGTACGCGGGCCTCTCACTGTTGTGGCCTCTCCCGTTGCGGAGCACAGGCTCCGGACGCGCAGACTCAGCGGCCATGGCTCACGGGCCCAGCCGCTCCCGTGTCCCCTGCATTGGCAGGCGGACTCTCAACCACTGCGCCACCAGGGAAGCCCGAGGCCACGTTCTTGAATCTCACCGGTGGTTCTGGACAGAGGGCCAGGGTGCAGCAAAGACACATCGCCCCTCCCTCACTTGCGTGTGCGGCATAGTGGTTCCAGCACAGTGCCCGTGCCCCTCCCCTCCCTGTCCTTGTGTGAGAGGATGCTTTGGGTTGTGCTGGAGCCCCAGTGGGCCTCTGGAGAGAGGGTGTCAGGGAATGTCCTGCGCTAAGAGTGACCAACCCCAATGGCAATAGCAACTGCAGACAAGAAGCAAGGGTTCAACCCACGTTTCAGGTGGTTATTCTGCAGTGACATGCCAGTCAAGGCCGTCACTGGGGCGCCTGTGAGAGAAGGCGCACCTGAAGCAGGCAGGCTGCTGAGTTGTTGCGGGACTCAAGATCCTGCCGGGGAGGGCACTTTATGTGGATGCTGCGCTTCCCAGTTTGCAAAGCCCATTCATCTCTCTCGTTCACTCCCCACAACGACCCTCCTCTTGGTCTCCACACTGTTGACCAGAGTGAAGTGCAGACTTGATCTGTTTGTAAGTTTTCAGTCCAGGAAAAAGTCCTGTTTCTGGACTGGACATACAGACCCCTTGGTGACCTGGCTCCCTCTCTCTACTCCAGGCTCACTGCTAGATAGCGCCTGCCATGTGCCATAGGCCACGCTGGCACCCATCTGGACATCTTGCTCTAGCCTCTGTCTTTACACATGTGAGTCTTCCCATTGGAAATGTTCTCCCGCCTTCGTCCTCCTGACAAACTCCTTCAGTTCTAGCCCCTGCCTCCTGGAGTCTCTTGGGGATGCTCCTGGCATAGGGAAGTAATTACTCCTCGGCACATAGGACCCGTTTTTGCCCTATAGCACTTGCCACACTGTCAGTGTCATTCATCGTCTGCTTGCCTGGCTCTCCCAGGGGACACAAAGCCACAGGAGTGAGCACATTCTCCATTCTGTCTTCCATCCTTGGGTCTAGCACAGAGCTGGCACAGAGCGTGGAGTCCCCTTTTGAACAAGGCACAGTAGGACCCCAAGGAGGGAGAGCTATGACTTGACTGCATGTAGCTGGTGCCAAGGGTGGGGCTGCACTGGCAGCTGCATCACTGAAAATGACAGGCTGCCTTTCCTGCCCCACCCGGCCTGAGCCCTGGGGCCTCATGTTGTCCGTCAGGTGGCTCTTCTGCGAGGAGGGCAGACGCCTAAAGCTTTAACTGCAAAAATGTTTTTACGGCGATTTGTCACATATTGACATCTACATTTTCGTGTATAAATTATACATTAAACTCATTCGGGTTTCTGGTGCAGAAGACTCTTTTCCAGATAATTAATTTTCTGATTTATAAAGCATGGATAAGAGGAGGAGTGTGTGTATTCCAGATCAGGATCCCGCTCAGATCTCAGCTCTTTGCTTCAGTCCTGGTGTGGAGCTGGGCCGATGGGGAAGCCCTGAGGGGCAGGCACGGCCCCAGAGGCTGAAGAGCTTCTTACTGAGGGCCTGGGGTGCATAGTGCCTGCTTCCTGTCCTAGGATCACAATGAAGGGTTGCAACAACCCTCCACCTGGTCTGTGACCTTTAGTATTTACCATGTGCCTGTCCTCACTGAATGCCCCCATAGCCCTGTGACCCCCATCTCAGATGAGTAAGCCACTGCTCACAGAGGTGACACAATCCATCCAAAGTCACCTAGCTGCTAAGGACGGAGATGGGATGTACACCCCGTGACTTTGACCTTGGTCCAGTGGCTGATGTTTTTCTACTCATTCACTTCTGAACTTGGGACTTCCATTCAATGGATGATCTGTTCATGTGTTCATTCATTCATTTATTCATTCAGTCCCTTAGCCAACATTACTAAGTGCTGACCTTGGTGAACTGGATAGAGCTTTGGCCCTTGAATCCATGGGTAGACAGATCAGATCCCAGGGAACATGCCAACGGGAGTGCCAGGAGGGTAGCCTGGGGCAAAGCAGCCGCACAGCAGCTCAGGACAGGACAGTGTGTGGGGACAGACTCCATGGGCTGGATTTCTTCCTTCCTTTCACAGGCACTTCCTTCCCAGCTTTTGCCTCCCCGCCTCCAATCTGTCCTGAAGGAAGCGTCTGCTGTGTCCTGTTGTGTGTGCCAGCCTCTTGGGATCCCTGAGCACAACTTACTCGGTTCTGGTCAGACTGGAATGACCTTGCACCTCCTCCTGTCCATCCATCTCCCTAGTCCTGCTTGTCCCCTGAGACCTCCCTCCCACCCTCTCTCTTCTGAGGACACTTCCCAGCTCCTAGCGGGCCTGACCTGAGGGCTCAGCAGGGCAAGGTGCACCCTGTCCCTGAAAACTTCTCTGCTTCTCCTGCAGAGGGTAGGTGTAAACACTGGTGATAGGGATTATTCCAGTTTACAGAACCTCAGGGGTTGTATTGGTCCTGGGACACACATTTGGGGTCCACAGAAGTAAGCTGGGGTGAAAGACGACGGTCGTGACTGGGCACACGTCACTCCCCCGACCATGCAGGTGTGTCTTTTTGTTTCACTTTATATTTTGCTGAGAAGCTTCTGGTGTTCTGCCCCGTCATGGAAGATACAGACCCTCAGCTTACGTTGTTTTCCCATCTGCCGTCATGTTTGCTCTTTGTCACATTTCTGACAAAACTTGAGGTCCAGTGGGAATTTGTGTTGTTTGTTGAGACTCTGGGAAGGCGGTTATCACATTACATTCTCGCTAGATTTAAGCCACGCCCATGCAGCATTACCATGACCTTCAACATCGTTTCCCCTTTTCGTGCCCTTTTGCCACCGCAGGAACCCACACCCCGTGTGAGGAGCTGCAGGCTTTACAACCCTTGGCCCCTTCTGGGCTGGCCCAGTTATCCCAGTTTTTTGGGGCTGGAGCTGGGTGTCACCTGGGACACAGGACTCAGGACACATGTGTTCCTACTGCTGTTGTGACCCAGGAAGCTTCCCTGCCTGGTCTTGCTGGCTCCGCTGTGATTGGCAGTCTCTGTCGGTGTTAAATTGGTTCCTCGGTGACCATCTTCTTATCCATCTGGACATCATCTGCCTGGGAACAAGACCTCTTTCCCCACCCTCCTTCCTGCTTTCTTCTCTAACGTGGCTGACACTGGCCACGCCACAAACCAAACGTGCAGCCTCACGGAGGTGCCTTATTCTCACCCCCACAGCCAGCCCTGTGCCTGCCCCAGTCCAGCCAGTGGAGGGCTCTAAGTCCAGCTGTCCAGCCCTCACTGCTTCCATTCCCCACAGCTGGGGTCAAGAGGCACCTCCCACGTGCTAGGCCCGCCTCTCTCTGCCCGCCCAGCCTGTGGCGCTCCAAGCAGCCCTGACCTGGGGCGGGAGGGAGACACCCGATCCAGCATCCTGTCTCAGCTCTCAGCCCCTCCCGCTGGGCGTCTGCCCTGGACTGGGTGCCCAGGCGGGCCTGGTCCATGCTCTAATGAAAGCTGTATGACACAGTCCTTCTCACTGGGCATCTGCCTTCTCTCTGTTTCCTGGGAACCATCCAGTAACCACGGCAACCTTGCCTGCTGGGCCCAGGCCCTCCTAGCCTCGGTGTGTGTCCTTTCCGGGCGTGGGAAGCAGTACTTGCCTGCAGACATCCCAGGGCACCCATGTTCTCAGTGGTCCCCTGCCTCAGGCTCACGCCCTACGACTTTTCTCCAGAGCAGCCAAAGTGTCCTTTTAACACACTGATTAGCTCAGGCATCTCCCTGCCTCCGTGGCTTCCACTGCACTCAAAGAAACACGAATGCTTTTCGGGGGCCTCTGCCTACTTTCCAACCCGATTTCCACCCTTTTGGGTCCCTCTGTGTGGAATGCTCTTCTCCCAAGTCCTCATGAGGCTGGGTCCTCCCCCTCATTCATTTCTCAGTTAAATGTTGAGCTCTTCACTGACTACCCGCTCTCAAGGACCCCACCCCAGTCTCTCTCTCTTACAACGTCTGGCCTGATTTCCTTCAAAGCACTTACCACATCTGAAAGTATCGTGTTTTTTGTTGTTGTTTATTTGTGGTAAGAAAACACAACATAAATTTTACCATTTTAACCATTTTAAGGCGTGCGATCCGGTGACATTTCGTACATTCAAGATGTTGTGCAGCCACCACGGCTATCGTTGCCATCACCCCAAAAGGAAAGCCCGTATCCTTTAAACGGTCACTCTGCATTCTCTCCTCCCCCAGCCCCTGGCAACCACTGATGCGCTTTCTGTCTCTATGAATTTGCCTTTGTCGTCGTCATCTTACTCTTTTTTCATGTACCTGTTTGCTTGTTTATGGTCTATCTCCTCCGTTAGTCTGCACGGGCCGTGACACCATGGCTGCGGCTGCTTTGCCTCCATCCCAGCGTCTGGAACAAGGCTGAGAGATATGGCTGGGGGGCAGCTGTGGGCAGGGAGCTGCTAAGACTGTTGCATGCGTGGTGTGTCAGTGGGGCTTCATAGAAGAGACGGGTATCAAAGGATTTCCCTTTTGAGTAGAAGACTGTGAGCTGCGCAGTGTGACCC